GATGTTATGTTTTTGAGGCTTTTAAAGATGAACATTACACTCAGAAATGTGTTTGCATAAATAATTTTCAGAAAGTCTGTTTCTTTTCAACCCGAGCATGGATACCATGCTATCAACGAGTTTCACAGTAAAGTACTGTGATTTAGAGATTAAAGTGTTTTCTGTTTACATATACATGTATATCAGAATATTTTCGAGGTAGCTTATTTTTGCAATAGTTTAAGTTCTCAAAACGTTTGAAATCCCTTGAAGACTGATGCCTTGACAGGCATCGCGGAACAAAAATAAGCTTTGAGTCAGTATTCAATATTTTGATCTGAAGGTAGAAAACTTAATACAAGTACTAAAAAAAAATGTTCTGGTGAGTTTTTTGTGTTGAGAAACATATTTCATATTAATACCTGAGAGTGACTTATCGCAACAAAAAGGTGTGGACTAAAGTTGTCTTAAAGTTATCATCTTCCTTAAAATGATGTTTATAATTGATGAATCTGAATAAACAAGCCAACGATCTTCTGCACATTAACACACTAATCTTAAGTTTATTGCCATGTTGTTCATATTGCACATTGACCACAGACTGCGTGTTACATTCAGTAGGAATAATGAGTAATGGGGAAGAGTTTTTTAGAACGAGAGAAGTATTTCCGACACGTGATTGAAGCCTCCATACATCAAACACTTATAACAATACCTGGCATTCAGATGTCAATGTTCTCTACAAGCTTGTAAACTTAATTGTCACGTTCAGTCAAGGGCAAAAAAATATGTTTACCTGATGCTGGTACAAGTAGTTGCGAATCGAATATCTTTCATATCTGAAACCTTTTCAGACTTGGATTCGAATCAAATATATCTTATATATTAATTTGAATTTCAAAATTTGTAAAAGAGTGGTTTCCTTCACTTAATTACTAAATTTAAAGCTTACCTGTAAATATCTGTTAATAATTTTGAAATCAGATGATAGAGACTTTTTTGATATGGTAAGTAGTACAAATACATATATACAAATCTAAATGTCTTGTTATATGAAAATATTATATTTCTTTTTAGGAGCCATTCTCTGCAGTCCTGTAGTCAATGATATGCGTATTGCAACTGCAGATGAAATGACGGTGACAAATGTAAAAATTTAAATTTTAATGTATTTGCAGTTGAAATATGAGTCTTACAAAAAATCGCAGTGTAATAAGAAAGTGTATTGAAATAAATTACAGAGTAACACTTCCCGACATTTCATAAAAAAAGTTTTTCAAATAGACCATTACCTTTTCAACTTAACAAACCGCAATTCCTAATAAAAAAATATATATGTAAAGACGCCTTCCTCGCTGTATGATTATAACTTTATTTTCAAGAAAGGCAAACAGCATTACAAATACAAACAAGAGGATATAAAAATGTGAAAAGAATCGTAATATGAACTTACATCTCTAGATTAAGACAAAATATAATCAAACCAAGCTCTGCCATTTTCATGATATAACTTCGGAGGTAAGTCGCAGACATGTTGGGACTACTTTCGATCACGTGACGTAAACACATTTGGCATAAAAGGTATTTGAAGGGACGAAGGGTACACTATATAATGCTAAAAGGCACTTACACAATTACATTCTGGATATATTTGTATGGATTTATCTTAAGCAAATACAACGATTTAAGAGCCTCTTTCTTCTTTTTGTCAAGACCTCAAACTCTCTTCTTTTTGTCAAGACCTCAAACTCTCTTCTTTTTGTCAAGGGCCTCAAACTCTCTTCTTTTTTGCGTAATCTTCCATCAAGCCCAAGTTGTAAATGTTCACATAGACATCATACGTTAGATTTTTTTATGTTTTCCAACAACCATATTACTGTACCAAAATAACATCACGTTTCTTTGATGTATTAATTTTAATTCATCACTTTGTTTTGAGTGAGAAAATCAAGATTTTCGCCCCATTGTTTCTTGATTTACACAATGCAAAATTACTTCGAAATCTTTCGTTTACCTCCGAGTCTTTTTCAGAAATATGACTGAAAAGACCGAAGTGTTCAAATAAGGAAAAAAATACAAACGAAGGAAATGTTTACATCTAGACTCTTACAAAGTAAACGAAAACAGTACAGGAGGAGTAAGACAAGATGTTCCGGACGGGTAAACTTCTTCTGTTTCCAAGACAACACCCACTATACAATCTATGTCAAATAATAGTAATATTATGTCTTCAAATTCACAAACGTGGTAATGACGATGAAATTACAAGTAACAATGAAATTACAAGTAACAATGAAATTACAAGTAACAATAAAATGACAAGACAAAATGAAATTACAAGTAATTACAAGTAACAATGAAATTACAAGAATCAATAAAATTACAAGTAACAATGAAATTACAAGTAACAATTAAATTACAAGACACAATTAAATTACAAGTAATCACAAGTAACAATGAAATACCAGTAACAATGAAATTACAAGACACAATGAAAATACAAGTAAAAATTAAATTACAAGACACAATTAAATTACAAGACACAATAAAATTACAAGTAACAATGAAATTACAAGACACAATTAAATTACAAGTAATCACAAGTAACAATGAAAATACAAGTAACAATGAAATTACAAGACACAATTAAATTACAAGTAGCAATGAAATTACAAGAATCAATGAAATTACAAGTAACAATGAAATTACAAGAATCAATGAAATGACAAGTAACAATGAAATTACAAGAATCAATGAAATTACAGGTAACAATGAAATTACAAGTAACAATGAAATTACAAGTAACAATGAAATTACAAGACACAATGAAAATACAAGTAACAATAAAATTACAATTAACAATGAAATTACAAGTAACAATGAAATTACAAGACACAATAAAATTACAAGACACAATGAAAATACAAGTAACAATGAAATTACAGGTAACAATGAAATGACAAGTAACAAGAAAATGACAAGACAAAATGAAATTACAAGTAATTACAAGTAACAATGAAATTACAAGTAACAATTAAATTACAAGTAACAATGAAATTACAAGTAACAATTAAATTACAAGTAACAATGAAATTACAGGACACAATGAAAATACAAGTAACAATGAAATTAAAAGACACAATGAAATTACAAGTAACAATCAAATTACAAGTAACAATTAAATTACAAGTAACAATGAAATTACAATTACAAGTAACAATGAAATTACAAGACAAAATGAAAATACAAGTAACAATGAAATTAAAAGACACAATGAAATTACAAGTAACAATCAAATTACAAGTAACAATTAAATTACAAGTAACAATTAAAATACAAGTAACAATGAAATTACAAGACCCAATGAAATTACAAGTAACAATTAAATTACAAGTAACAATTAAATGACATGTAACAATTAAATTACAAGTTACAATGAAATTACAAGACACAATGAAAATACAAGACACAATAAAATTACAAGACACAATAAAATTACAAATAACAATGAAATTACAAGACACAATGAAAATACAAGTAACAATGAAATTACAAGACACAATGAAATTACAAGTAACAATTAAATTACAAGTAACAATTAAATTACAAGTAACAATGAAATTACAAGACACAATGAAATTACAAATAACAATGAAATTACAAGTAACAATGAAATTACAAGAAACAATGAAATTACAGGTAACAATGAAATTACAAGTAACAATGAAATTACAAGACACAATGAAATTACAAGTAACAATGAAATTACAAGTAGCAATGAAATGAAATTACAAGTACAATGAAATTACCAGTAACAATTAAATTACAAGACACAATAAAATTACAAGTAACAATGAAATTACAAGTAACAATGAAATTACAATTAACAATGAAATTACAAGTAACAATGAAATTACAAGACACAATGAAAATACAAGTAACAATGAAATTACAAGACACAATGAAAATACAAGTAACAATGAAATTACAAGTAACAATGAAATGAAATTACAAGTAACAATGAAATTACAAGTAACAATGAAATTACAAGTACAATGAAATTACAAGAATCAATGATTAGCATTATAAAAACATCCAGGTAAGAATTGATATAAACAAGGTCTATCATCGATGTAAGTAATCAAACTAATAAAAATACACACCAAAAATATTAGCAATACTTGAAACTTTTCAAAACGATATTTATTATCTCACACCTACAGGTTTATTTACCCAAACCTCTTACATACACAACACACTATACACACATGCCTACGCAAACGCAGATGTACACAGGACATTTGATCTCACAATTTTTTTTTCTTGTAATTCTCGCGTATAACACACTCCCTAGTGTCAATACAAATACATATTGATGGAACTTATGTACATGTACCAATAAATATATTAATAATGTTTTTTAAAAAATAAGTCGTCGGCAAGTAATAGAATCTTCTATTCTGCCTCGTTAGGTAATGATAAAAAAAATAAAGTTGAATTATATATCGAGTGAAAAATAAACTAATATCATTAATGTTTCTTTCTTTAAATGCTAATTAAATATATACGTGTATTTTAATATTTGACATTTAAAATAAAATGCAAGTCAATATTAAAGTGCAATTTGAAATTATCAATTTTAATGTGGCCAGCTCATAGAAACGATGGAAAAAAGTTACTGACGTTTTGTTAACAATTTTAAATAACATATAAATGCATAAATATGTATTCAATATGGGAGAAAACCATTATCAATATGTTATATCTTAGAAAATCTTTGTGCGTTTATGTTGATATTTAAATTTATAAAAGATAGATAGCGTAATTAGGAATGAACGTTGATTCATTCCAGTCAATTTTACGATACAAATCAAATAAATAAATAATGAAAAAAACAGTTTCATAAAAGTTGTATAATCAATACCTATAATGCTGGATGCGACATGTAAAAAAATACAAGTTTGTACAATAGTACATATTTCAAATAAACAAAACCACAAAACTGAAACAAAAAAACATAAAAACAGTAATTTTAAATAAAAAAAGTTATTAAAATGCATCAAATCAAGAATAAAAATGTGGCGTCATCTGTTGATGACGCAATATACAAGTTCGTTCTTATGGTTATGGTACGGGCTACGAATTCAACACCGTCGCTAAAATTTCTATTTACATATGTGAAAATGATATTGAGTATACATGACGGTATTTATGTTGACACACTGTTTCGTCTCTTTCCATTTCTGGCTTTGCGTGACATTGATATTTTGACGTAGGCTGAATAACACTGTCCTGTTCTGATGGGGACCCCACTGAACCCTCTACGAACAAAACTTTCCACTCAGTCTCACAACTGATCACTCAAATATAGCAAATACTTGGCTTGTATTTTGTCCATAGACATCAGAAGCAACCTTCCAAGTATAAAAACGACTTGAATATTGACACGTTTGGGCGTCAAACAACACTAAGAAATTAAGATTTCCAGCATTCTAAAATTAAATAAGTGTTCAAATTGAAATGTTTGCACAATTTCAAAAACAGATATCATCTGCTGTCGTCTGTGGAATATTGATTTTGTGTATCAGTTAGGAATACAGAAATTGTCAAAACAATAATTCAACTGACAAACCAGCTAGATATGGTCATGAGATGACGTTTATTCAATCTTTGACTATGATTGTCTGTGTTGTAACTATAGGTCGACCAGAACCATTCATTAGACGTACACTGTAATAAATGAGAAATTGATTGGTTTCCCTGATTCAAAATGTCTGATAATTCACGCTAATAAATTGATCAGATTTGTGGAACCACAGTTCACGACAATATAAAATCTCTTACTTCAGTCACTACTGCAATAAACATCAATGTATGTTATATCCCATTTTACCTTATTTTCTTAACACTCCCGTTAAATGTCTCTCAGACGGGGTTTTAGTGTATAAGAAGAATTACATTTAATATGTTTAACATGTAACTTTTAAAACTCTGTCACGATTTGATACGCTGCTGTTTTTGTTGGTCAAACTTGATATAGTATTCCAATTAATGTAATAGCCAATAGCCTGCATTTGTCAGAAATCTTCAGTAGAATGATTATAACATCACAAAAGTAATGACGTCATGTTCCGAACGCTATAGATATGATCCTATCAATCTGAATTAGACTTCGTTTAATTATATAGTGGAGATTCAACAAATTAATGTTCAAACCTTGCAAAATAGACCAGTGCTATATACTGTAGGAAATTCATTGTATTTCTATTGATATTCATTTAACCTTGATTTCGTTTACAAATGCTCATTTTCCATTTGTTGCACAGAATATCAATGCTATCTCCAAAGCGATAGTGCCATAAGGATCACAATAGACACGAACAAAAATGATACAAACTAAACTGGTATTTTTTTGTATAATTCAGAGATTTTCCTTTAAAAGTTATTTCCCTTCTTTAATAAAAGAAAGGGGCGTTCAATATGATAAAACCGTATATGATAAAAAGGTACATGAAATAATAAAGAGTTTGGCGGGGAAAAGGTCCCAGCTATTTAAGTGGGTCAAGGACAACTTTTAACTTGATAGGGTTGACTGTGTGTAGAAGTGGTGTACTCTTTAGAAACTGTGGTGGACTGGGCTGGAAAAACAACAAGGAAAACATCATTTAACTTCTAAGAAAACGATGTCGCATTATCACATTGATAATTGAAACTGTGATTTTCAAGTATATCTGTAATTCAGATTTCAAAATGAAATAGCAGACGTAGTTTTAATTTCTGGTGATAAATAGTCAGAAAAGGATAAATTATAAATAAGATAACAACACGTGACGATAGCCATTGCTATTTTTAACATTACACGATAGTCATTGCTATTTTTAACATTACACGATAGCCATTGCTATTTTTAACATTACACCATAGCCATTGCTATTTTTAACATTACACGATAGTCATTGCTATTTTTAACATTACACGATAGTTGCTATGGATATATAAAAAAAGGTTGAGAATATTACTGTATGAATATTTGAAAACAATAAACTTATCCAAATATTTCAAATATAGGTCTTATTGATGGTAGACTGATTTTCCTGATAACATACCAGCGTCGCCAACCCTTTTGGAAAACGTATTTCCCTAATTACATTCGGGTATTGCCGTCATATTTGCTGACTTATTTCCTTAATTACATTCGGGTATTGCCGTCATTTTTGCTGACTTATTTCCCTAATTACATTCGGGTATTGCCGTCATATTTTGCTGACTTATTTCCCTAATTACATTCGGGTATTGGCATCATTTTGTAAACTTATTTTCCTAATGAAATTCGGGTATGGTTTTTTTTGCTGACTTATTTCTCTAATTACATTCGGGTATTGCAATAATTTTGGTATACTTATTTCCCCCAATTAAATTCTTTCGGTATCATATTAATTTGAACAATAGCTTGAATAAACATTTTTTTTTTTTAATGAATCTTTTCTCAGTATTACGAATTGTAACGGTGAACAGGAATCAATGTTGACAGTTTAACAGTTTCGCAGCTTCTGAAATTGCAGTTCCAAGTGAAGTGAATTTTAAATAGAGGCTAAATATGTCATTAACCTAGTTATTTTTCTAATGATTGAAATGCGTTTTTTTTAATTTTCACGATGCTATGCAACAAATGCATAATAAAATATATTCACCTAGAATCGCAGTTGAGCATCTGGAAGATTTAATTTAAACGGACCCATATTGCAAACCATTTTGAAACATTAAAAAGATGGATATCTATTTTTATATCGACTTCTAAAATAGCAAAAATTATATAGGTGTATACTTCTTTGTTTTCTCATTACGTTAACAATACATTGTAACAAATTGTGTGACCAGTTGATGGAACAGCCATTTCTGTGAGAACAAGATAGAGTTTTCTATGGTAACCAGACCTTCCTGGCACAAACGACATTCGGAAATCGTTGCCATCATGTCATAATTGGTAACCAATTTATCAAACAGATTGACCTGAAGTGTAATTATTTTGCTGTTTTTTATTGAAATAACTAATTTCATTCAAGGACTGTAAAAGGAAAACATACATAATATTTCTAAGTCCACGGATATGTGCAAAATACTGTATTAAAACACGATTGAAAGTTCAATAATCAATGACACTTTAATGCGATAATATAGAGTATGATACTTTACCTCTGTTTCTGCACACGATACAAAACGGACCCTTCTCATAGCGTGAACAAGAAGTAGTTTCATTTCCAGCACGGCAAACCTAACACCAATACACATGCGTGGTCCACCTCCGAATGGCAAATACAACACTGGGTCGATTTTGTATTCACTATCAGGATCAAATCTGAAGCAAAAGTAACAACATTATATAAACAAATTCATGTCTGTAACTTGATTTACAGTGATTTCAGATGTGAAATATACATGTGGTCGCTATGGATCAAAATGAAATTGAAAAGCGGGACAATTTCGTCTTTCAGATCGTGAACTTTCCCTCTCTTTATAATAACATCCCTGCTTCCCCTACTTACGGGTTAACATGCCGTAGGATATTCTATTCTCTTGAGCGTGCACCGAAAATCATCACTTTCGTGATATATGTCAACTGCTGACGGACAAACTTACAATACAGGGTTTCCAAAGATGCTTGTTGGTGAAGACATTTGACAAGTTTTAAGCTCGCCATCAGGATCTCGCTAGGAAATGTGCTATTTATCTGTGTGATACGGAGGTCGATGCCACAGTAAGGGGAATGTAAGCGCTATTGACTATTCGGATGTTTACTAACCCACCATGAACCTAAGTTAAAAATAAAATAATAAACTTGAATCATTTGTTTATCACCTAAACAACTCTTCATGTTAACTTCAAATCGATGACAGTTTGAAATATGTATAAAAAGCATTTCACACTAGTGAACATCTCTTTAATATTTTGTGTTCTTTTCTGAGTGCAGATATTCGCAAGTCACAATCGGTTTGCAGGAATATCTTCCAGTTTAGAGTTACTGATGATAGTAAGTAATTATTGTTTTCGCCTCCGATACAATGTATGTAGTTTAACTTACCTTTCTGGACGAAACTCTTCCGGGTCAGTATATAGCCGGGGGTCATGATGTATATGATAGATAGGGATCACTGCTACGGACCCCTTAGGGATTCGAACCCCTTTTATAGTCGTCGACTCACTGCAGTGCCTGCTGAGTCTATAACAAAACAAAATTAACATTATACTGCCAATAATGATCAGCAACCTACTTTCACGAAGCGCACACGTGCAACACCGTCTTCAAACCTCCGGGCGGTATGCTCTCTTAGGTTTTCTGTGTCCCAGGAATATTTCATGACGAAATCGAAGGCTATTTACGCGCTACCTTGTGGATGATAAAGGTCGATTAGTCAAGTTGTAAGTGTTATAGTTAAATCGACTTGGCTTGGCGTCGGATGTCGCTTCGCTGTAATCTAGCAATAGGTCAGATATTCTTACTTGAGACCAAATAGTTATCCGCGTGGGTTCGATTTGTGTAACCCTGCAGGTAGGGCGTAAGAATTGTACCTGCTGCCCCCAATTGCATGATCGTAAGAGGCGACTAAATTTGGGACCCTATCTCTTCTCTCCTTTCTAAATAACTTTCTTCTTCCTAATGTCTCCCTTGACAATGCCTCACTTTTGGCCATTTGTTGAGCGTTCGCCCCTGTGAGGAAGGCTTTGGGTTCTGTCCCCTGGCCGAGACATACCAAAGTCTTTAAAAATGGTAGTTTCTACTCCTGCTTAACGCTCAGCAAATAAGGAGTGGGACGACTGGTTTGCCCGTTGTCAGTATAATGTGACCGGGTGGGGCGTCCTGCTGGGTGTCTTCGGCAGTATGTTTCAGTGAGGTAGCACTATAAAGTCGGCATAAGTTCCGCGCTATCACAAGGAGACAAACACGAACATATCGCAGCCTCCCAAAATACACACGCATACACTACGAGCATGCATCTTGCACACAGGGGGGCCGTCCTTAAATGACCTTAGCTGTTAATAGGACGTTAAACAAAATCAAACAAACAAACAAAAAAGGTTCGATTTGTCATGAAGTTTTCCAACGTTGTAGAAACAAAGTGAGCGTTACCCTCGTCATTTCATGGATGATATAACAAAGAAACGTGGAGAATTTTCTTTTGACAAAAAGAGCGGTATATGATTCTTCTAAAAATTGTAAATAATATACAACATTTGATATAGCACCCTATCTAGTTAACGTAAGACACTCTAAAGCACTTTACAGTACATATATATACAATTGATAAAATTAGCATATACATTAATCAATACAATTTTGAGGAATTCGCAGGAGCTGCCTTTTAAGCACTAACTACTAGTCATATGCCACCTGGCTAATATCTCCCTATTTGTGTATGCCTGCGTGTGTGCTGGAGATGTATTTAGTTATGTTTCTAAAAATCACTCATGTAAACGTTAGATACATATATCATGTACGAATGACATTATTTCTGTTTTTAAAGTGAAAATATATATTACCTTGCTGACCATTTTGTACTTTTCAGAAAAAAGATATTATGAAGAAATACAGCCTTGTACATGTGTATCGAACCTGGTCAGACATTCTCTGTCAACAATTCAGTGATGTAAAATAAGCTGCACGCGCTAAACTGTCATTCGAATTCTTGTGAACATTCAGATATGAAAATGTACGACAGTTTTTGGTGTAATAATTTCATATTAGCTGGCTTATATCATTAATATGGACAATGGTCAGTTTATAGAATTTACCTTGCAAGGGTTGGATACTTCCGCAGAGTCTCGTTGATAACATAGCCAGTGTACTTGAGGTCAGTCAGGTTGTCGTAAGTCGGCTCGGCCTGTCAAAAGGACAGAATGGTGCATCCGAGTCAACTTTGGTGATATTGCAATGTATTAATGTGGAAATCAAAGTACAACAGGTTATTTTGCATTTTCCTTGAGTGCCAACTTTTTACATAACGATGACGTATTATGATGCAAAATCGAAATGCTTTGATATTGATTAAGATATAAAACCTTTTTTTCTTGGAAATTTACAACTAGACCTTAATACAAACGTTTACATATATAATGTGTGCAAAATTCCCCAAATCCAGTAATATACCGTATGAAAAATAAAAAAAACATGCCAAATTCCATCGGTATCATTCAATGGTAAATTCATGTAAATGGAAGGCATCGTTAACAACTTGTATATAACCCTTTGCCTAATGTTTGACAAATTGTATTGAATTTAAAACATAATATATGAATTACTTACAGGCTCTCGAATGAGTTTTTATACACATTTCAAATCAACAAATATGTTTGACAGATGTTAGAGTCAAATGGATTGAATAACTGGCAAGCCTATATACATTCTTTCCATGAGTGGCTCTTAGTTTGATCTTATATACTTACAATAAAGTAACAATATTGATTAATTGATTTAGAATATTTTTAAATGAAAAAAAAAATATTGAGTAGTAATATAATGTAAAGGATTAGGGGAGATAACTCCAACATGATAAACATAATGGAGATGAACTCTGTATATCACACAAACAACTCACGATCAACATCCAGCACACGTACAGTTATTATCTCATTAAATAGAGCGAGAGGTCACACTCATTTATTCATATATAAAGTAAGAGTTCACATTAACCAAAAGTCCATGCGCATGTATATTTACATGAAATACTAGTTTATGAATGAATAATCTGTCATGGCTAGAAGAAGTTAAATTGTAACGTTATCATGGGCTTAACGGGCATATTGTCTTTTTCGCTGTAATATACACATGCTTTTAAAAAGCTATTGTTGTTCATTCTATGTCCTTTTTTACAACTAATTAATTTAAAATAACTACCATTTGATGCGATAGAATTGTTAATTATATTTGGACTTTTGCATCGAAAAACAATATTTGAAATGTTTACTTTACTTTTTTACACCTGCAATGTTATAAATAGTAAGAAGTGATGGGATCAAGTAGGCTATGCCTTAAGGATTAACCTGAATATAACTTTATGTTATGGAGATATAACACACGAAAACGGAGTGTACTCTAAATAAACTGCAAAGCGGTTTATGATGAGATTACACTCAGTTTGTTTGTGTTATAGCTCCATAACATAAAAAATTTATGTTCAAGTCAATCCTTATAATTCAATCTACTATACACAATCCCTGTGGAAATCCACTTTTATTGATGGACTCTTTTCTCTTAGAAGTTATTGCGCTGCAGTATCAGCCAATTAAAAGCGACGTTACATACGGCGACGTCATTTTTTACATTATGGGCTGATAACATATTTTTTAAGCCAATCAAAATGCTTGTTACCAGCAAGATTAAATTATTTAACTATAACAACAAATTCTGGCGAAATTTATATGTATAACAAAAAGGTCAACTAAATTAAACATATTATACAAAAATAATCGAACTTAAAAAACGTACAAAGCTAGTTTTCACCCCAATTTAAAATAATGCTAATACAATACCGATAAACGATACATTAACATAACATTTCAAACACCCGTGAATAGTCCTTTGGCAAGCCTATTTTGATGTGAACTAGTGAAAGTCAGCAAGCCTCAAACACCAAATGTTCCCTGCCTGACTGGAGTAATCACAAGCAATATGCTGTAAATTTTATTATTAGTAACAGTGATCTTATTTGTATTTACCCATTAAGGCGATGTTCGACGTTGTTAAAGGTATTTTGAGGGTAAACATGTGTGGAAAAGTCTGTCAAGTAAAACGGCCACAAAAGTAACCACAGCCCTCCTACATTTTTCAAATCATATTTTTAGTAATAGTCCACTTACCCCATTTTTTAAGTTGTTCTAGGTACGTTCAAGGCCAACAAAACTTAGGTACGTTACAGGCCAACAAAACTTAGGTACGTTACAGGCCAACAAAACTTAGGTTTCACGACAATCAGTCAAGGGATACCGAAGTTTAGAATAATGACTTGGAACATGGAAATGAAGTTATATTTATGTTTTTTGTAATTGTGATATTAACTTTCGAACAATAATGATATATTAATACCTGTCTAAGGTATGCCCAAGACAAACATACGTGTTACGTTTCATTAAAGTATGGCAGGAAACTGTAGTCTCACGTTATAATAATGTTTACAACACTGGACCACTTCACGGCATTATTTGTGTCATCCGGGTCTTTACCAATGGTGAACGTAAGAATGGTGACAAGGAGTGTGACAGACGGACTGACGGGACATAACACTATACCTTATATTTCGCGTTGTAGGGGTATTTAAATATAGCACTGCCGAGGATGTTAATTTTTACTCTAATGTACTAGTTTAGCTATAATGTTCACGTACATTTATATTAAAGATCCATGTTCTTTATAGCTACATTACATTAATCGGAGGTTCCAGGGTTCGAATCCCTGTCTGTCCATTTACTTTGTTTGCACTCAGAAACACGTTTAAATGACTTATTTCATCTTTATTATCTTTCTATAAATGTTCTGCAAGGCGTGGCTTACTTTTCATAAATAGTTTCTCAAAGCTCTAGTTGTGTCGGAAAATAAGTGTCAACATCATAGTTGCAGTTTTTAGAGTGGTAAGGGGATCTTAAACGTATGGAGACTTTTTGTTCTCACCTCTCCAACGACAGAATTAATTTCTTTCTTCAATGTATCCTGTATGTGCTGATTCAGCGCCAGTTCATACGCAACGTAATGGAGGCATGTAGCCGTTGTTTCGTAAGTACCAATCATAAAGGAAAACGCTTGGGCATTTACTTCCTCCGTGGAAAGATCTTAAAGACAACCAAGATAATAGGATATCAACCGGAAGTGAGGAAAACATTGTCTGCACCACGTACATAAGATATAAACTATTTTCATTTTACAACAACTATGAAACAAGTTATTTCAACTTATATTTGCACTCTTTTTGGTCCGGATGTTAGCACGCGGGGTCTTAATGTCTTAACGAACCCGGGGTGCTGTACCCGGAGAACACCCACGTGGTCGGACAGGTGACTCCATTCCTTTTCACGACGGTACTTAGTTATCTGAATTTTAACATATTTATCATTAATATATAGTAAGTTTGGTGTAAAATTTAAAAATAAACAGCCCGCTTTACATATTTTTTCAGAACATCTGAAATATTGTGGTAAACGCAATTAACGATATTTAGATAGGAGATATCTGATAACTAGGTTAATAATTTAGGCTTCTTATGATTATGCCATTGGCATTTTTTAACTGATGTGCTTGGCAAATTTTATATCAAAGACGGCAGGTTTACAAATTTATTAGTAAGTATTAAGTACCCTTTTTGTCTCCGTTAGTTCCTGAACTGGCATCAGTCAACAACTGAAGAAAATCATCTCGTCGCTGAAAACAGCAAGATTGAAAAATCAAACAACTGAAAATGTACATCATTGGCTGCATTTGCTAGGACGCCAAAGTGGAAATTATATGGTTTTAATATATGGTTTTGAATTATTGAATATAATAATACCGCAAAATATTTTAAGAATCAAACACTTTCAAAATCATGTTTACTGTGCAATCATAACAAATGTTGTTTACAGGTAACTGGTCAAGTAAAACAAATGTAAGACAGTCTGTTTTGTTGAATTATCTTTGAATATTAAGCTTAAATTCTGATTTCATCATCGTAAACAATATTATACAGTTGTTAGGATTGACAGAAAAATAGTTGAAAACGATTTTAAATTGAATAACACGGATAATCTTTGGCTGTTATCGTTTTGAATTTTCTATTTACCAAACAACCTTTTGTTTGTTGAGTTAGCCAGGACAAATTGAGTTGGTAATTCCAATATAAGATACATTCTGTATTCAGGACACTCTTACCAGTTCCGGATGCTTCCGTCGCTCATCAATCAATTTTGTTGTTTCACCAGCGATAAAGTTTACTGTTTTCTTTGGAAAAGGACTGACATCGCAAAGTTTGAGAATTTTGTCTGCATGTGGTATGATCACTGTTAATTTAAAAAATTAAAAACGGATCATTAGTTTTTGACACGAGTTTTGCAGTTAGGGTTTTAGAAATCGTTTATGAAAAAGAAATTAATAAAATATAATTTTGATTATTATCAATGATGGAAGGACATAACAATGTCAATGACAGAGAGACACAGTGTTGTCAATGACAGAGAGACACAGCGTTGTCAATGATGGAAAAACACAGAGTTGTCAATGATAGAAAAACTCAACATTGTCATTGATGGGGAAACACAGCATTGTCATTGATAGAAAAACACAGCATTGTCACACAGTGTTGTCAATGACAGAGAGACATAGTGTTGTCAATGACAGAGAGACACAGGGTTGTCAATGACAGAGAGACACAGTGTTGGCAATGACAGAGAGACACAGAGTTGTCAATGACAGAGAGACACAGTGTGGTCAATGACAGAGAGACACAGCGTTGTCAATGACAGAGAGACACAGCGTTGGCAATGACAGAGAGACACAGCGTTGTCAATGACAGAGAGACACAGTGATGTCAATGACAGAGAGACACAGTGTTGGCAATGACAGAGAGACACAGCGTTGTCATTGACAGAGAGACACAGCGTTGTCAATGACAGAAAGACACAGCGTTGTCAATGACAGAGAGACACAGCGTTGTCAATGATGGAAAAACACAGAGTTGTCAATGATGGAAAAACACAGAGTTGTCAATGATAGAAAAACTCAACATTGTCATTGATGGGGAAACACAGCATTGTCATTGATGTGGAAACACAGCATTGTCATTGATGGGGAAACACAACATTGTCATTGGTATAAAAACACAGCATTGTCAATGATGGGGAAACACAGCATTGTCATTGATATAAAAACACAGCATTGTCATTGATATAAAAACACAGCATTGTCATTGATATAAAAACACAGCATTGTCATTGATGGGGAAACACAGCAATGTCATTGATATGAAAACACAGCATTGTCATTGATATGAAAACACAGCATTGTCATTGATGGGGAAACACAGCAATGTCATTGATATGAAAACACAGCATTGTCATTGATATGAAAACACAGCATTGTCATTGATGTGGAAACACAGCATTGTCATTGATATAAAAACACAGCATTGTCATTGATATAAAAACACAGCATTATCATTGATGGGGAAACACAGCATTGTCATTGATATAAAAACACAGCATTGTCATTGATGGGGAAACACAGCATTGTCATTGATGGGGAAACACAGCATTGTCATTGATAGAAAAACACAACATTGTCATTGATGGGAAAACACAGCATTGTCATTGATGGGGAAAACACAGCATTGTCATTGATATGAAAACACAGCATTGTCATTGATGGGGAAACAAAGCATTGTCATTGATGGGGAAACACAGCAATGTCATTGATATGAAAACACAGCATTGTCATTGATATGAAAACACAGCATTGTCATTGATAGAAAAACACAACATTACCATTGATATAAAAACACAGCAATGTCATTGATATGAAAACACAGCATTGTCATTGATATGAAAACACAACATTGTCATTGATG